TCCCTGGCGTCCTCCAGGCAGATCGAGGAGGTTTCGGGGACATGGCAGTGAGGAGAGGCGCCATTCTCCAGTCCCTTGAGAGGGCCATACACTGGCAGGCAGGGGACCCCACAGAGGCCAGTGAACTTGCCCCAGATCTGGTCACATCCTGTGGGCAGGTCCCTTTGGGACAGACATTGAGGATCCAAGAGGCAGACAAGCAAGCCCCAGGGCTTTGGGGAGCCTCTGCAGTGATGTCAGTACCCCCCGAACCCTGTTTCTGCCTGGAGTCCAGTATGGCCTCCTTGTGAACCCAAGACACCAAGACCCCTACCTCTAGGACTGCACACGTTGTGGACCTCCTGTGTGTGGAGTGTCCCTTTCCATTCTCCCTGGTCTTCCTGGTCGTTTTCAGCTTTTGGAGTTCAACTTCTGGGAGTCCTCCTTCCTAAGCTTCTACCAACTGGAACTACCCCAAGAAACAAAATGTGCTGGCCAAGAATAAAAGCCAGGGACGTGGCCACTTTCCCCCGTGCTCCACCTGTCCTGGGAAGGAGATCCGGTGCTTGGGCTGTCGCTGTGGGCTACCTGTGTACAGACTGCCATAGTCCATGGCCAGGCCCTGCCTGACTCTTCCAGGCCTCTGGGACACACAACGAGAGCTTATTTCACAGCCTGGGTGGTCTTGGGAGGTCCCGGGGATGGGGATCTTACCCAACCTGCCAACAGTGCACACAGGGACTCATCAGACCCAGATCCCAAGAATCCCACTTCCCCAGTCCCATCCTCTCTCCCCCAACTACAACTGTGATCTCAACACCAAGTCCCAGGGAAGAAACAGCCTCTTGTGCCAGCTAGCTGGGCCTCCTTGGGGCCAGGCCCCCACTGGAGATGGGCCCAGGGCCAGGGAAGGGGCTGTGTGAGTCAGTGGGGCGTCTTTGTGGCGTCTCCTCTGACATCCCAGCGGACTATTGGAGAGAGATTTCGTGGGGACACCGCTGGGGGTCCTCGCCAGAGGGAGAGGGCGGGGGCGACCAGGGTGACCTATTTTTCACCAGGCCCTGTTGGTCCGTCGTGGTGGGGCCCTGCCAAGCTTCCTGAGTGCGCGTTAGCACGTCAGAGTGGGGCTGCTGGAAACTGTTCCCAGTCTGCAATCAAGTCCTCCCTGCCTGTGAATACAGGCCATGGGGGAGCAGCCAGAAACTCCTGAGGAAGGGGGGGTCAGGCGATGATGGGAATGATGGGGAGGGAGCCTTGCCACTGTGACACCAGTCCTCCAACTCTGGAGCATAGCGTATCTCAGCTCCACCTGAGACAGCAAAATTTTAGGAGGAGCGGGGAGAGGCCACCCCTCTGGAAGATTCTTTGTCCCACCTTGCCCTTCATACACCAGAGCTGGGGAATTTGCTCTTGATCTGGAATTTGGGGTTCAGAGAAAGGCGCACCCAGACCAGCCCAAGGTGGTCTGAGCACCCCCGTCCATCGCCTGCTGGTCCTGGGAGCAGAGGCAGGCACACAGGGGCCTGGGAACCAAGGCCTGCAGAGCCAGGAACAAGGAAGCACTTTCTGGCAGGGCAGGAGATGTCAGCCACCCCACGCTCACCCCTGCCTCCGCCCCCATTCTTGGCCTTGCCACGGAATTGCCTGGGTGGTGGTCCCTGCCATGGCGCCAATCCCGGCACCTCCACACCCTGTGGAACGCGCCACCACAGAGCACTTCCCCGAAATGAAACCCCCTCTGGCCCAGACCACAGAGCACGTGGCTCCCAAGGGCCCCCTCCCCAGCTGGAGGCTCAGCAGGCAGGCCTCCGAATGCCAGGCTCCCATGGAGGGTGGCTGCCGGGAGGAGAGGAAGGGAGAGGAAGGGGAGGCGGGGACTCGAGCGTCAACGTTCTTCCCCTCCCTCCATTCCACCCACAAAAGCCCCCGGTTCGGTTTCCATCCCCGTTTGTTTTCCATTGCAGCTGAGGAGAAGGCCTCCAAAGCTGCCAGCTTCCCCCCGTTGCCCTTGGACTGCCGAGGGGGCCCCAGAGACAGGCCCTCTAACTTGCAAGGCTCCCCGGGCCCCTGCCTGGCCAGCCTGCGTCTCCCTCTTTCCCCTGGACTCCCTGATTCCATGGAGCTGGCCAAGAGCAAGAGCAAGAAGCGCCGTAACCGCACGACCTTCAGCACGTTCCAACTGGAGGAGCTGGAGAAGGTCTTCCAGAAAACCCACTACCCTGATGTGTACGCCCGGGAGCAGCTGGCTCTGCGCACGGACCTGACTGAGGCCCGGGTACAGGTGAGGGCACCACAGGCATGGGGCTCCCTGGCTGCCTTGACCACCATTTCGTGGCCAGACTGTGGAGGCCCTGGCAGAGGTGGGTGCAGGCGCCTCTCACAGCTGCCTTTCTGGGTGCCTGCCCCAGCCTGCTCTTCCTGGGCCCAGTCTCGGGCCCAGTCTGCGGCGGTCACAGGCGCTTCTGGTCCAAGCGGAGACTTATGCGTTGGTGTGAGGGCAAGGGCTCTTGGATTCAAGAGACCTGTGTGGGTCCCAGTCCCAGTTTCCCAGTTCGAGAAGAGGGAGTGATGGTACTCGCTACTTGGGGAGTCTTGAGGGTCCCAGAGGCGGTATCACTCGGGAAGCAGTGAAGTGCCAGACGCGCATCAGAGCTTTTTCTGAAGTGGTTGCCCAGAATGGGAGGGTCGCTGCTGGGGAGGCCTCAGCGTCAGTGACCCTCAACCTTGTGAGCCAGAGACCGTCAGTCTCTTCCAGCTCTCAGACCCCTGGCTGGCAGCACCTGGTCGGAGCCTTTGCCCACACTCACGAACTCCCCTATGGGGATAAGGCCTCAGGCCTTCCTGGACGGGGCTGTGGCCAGTCTCACAGAGCAGGAGCTCAGCCTTTGGGGAGACAGCGGGCAGGTGGGTAGATACCGGGAAAGGAGGAGGGGAAGGGAAGTCCACATCCAAGCATGTTGGAAGTGACAAAGAGCGTGAGGCAGGTAAGCGGGCTTCGGATGGGGAAGGAGGTTCAGTTAGAGTCTGACCCAATCCTTGCCTTGGGTTGTGCGAGCTTGATCATAGCAGTCAGAGGCATGGGCAGGGGTGGGCTTGCGCTTCTAGGGAAAGGTGAGGAGGTGACCTCTCAGGAAGAGTCATCTGGCTCTTGCACCACAATGGAGACTTAGCAGGGGCAAAGCTATCACACTCTGCATGGGGCCCTTCCAGAGATTCTTTTTTTTTTTTTGAATCAGAGTCTCACTCTGTTGCCCAGGCTGGAGTGCAGTGGCATGCTCACGGCCACCACAGCCTTGACCTGCTGGGCTCAGGCAATCTTTCCGCCTCAGCTGTCCAAGTAGCTGGAACCATAGGCATGTGTCACCACACCCAGCTGATTTTTTATTTACTGTAGAGACGAGGTCTCACCATGATGCTCAGGCTGATCTAAAACCCCTGAGCTCAGGCAATCCTCTCACTTCTATCTCCCAAAGTGCTGGGGTTATAGGCATGAGCCACCATGCCCGGCCAGAGATTCTTTTTGAAGCCGCCGGGACAGCAGCCAGCCCTGGAGGATGTGGGGCCTGCAGGCCATTATGTAAAGAGGGCAGCTGCCATCCAGCAGAAAAGGCCCTGTGGTTGCATCCAACATAGGACTAGGGGCCCTGGACTGTTTCCCCTTCTCTGCTGGGTCCTCCTGCTCCTCCCAGATGGCAGCCCAAACAGACTTCCAGGAAAGTCCCCCAAGCTTCCTCAGGGGCCGAGGCCATCAGGGTGAGAAGCCCAGTGTTCAAGGCTACTCCAGATTATACAATCCATGGGAGTCTAGAACAGCGAGGCTCCAGGTCTCTGCAGGCCTCTGGGTGAGGTCCACACAGCTCCTCCCTCTGGAAGTGCACCCCTCCCCTAGGCCTTTTCAACTCTGAAAAGGAGCAGGGGTGACCACAAGCCTCCCAGCCCTCATCTAGAAGCTTCCCTGAAGATTGCGACCCTAGCATAGGAATGTTTTCTCTGACAGGAGTGTGGCACCCACCCATAGATCCTGCCCCACAGAGAGGAGTAGTAAGACGACATGCCGGACAATGCAGAGGGTATCCAGAACCCGGGGGAGGTCTCCGGTGGGGACTCTAGTGACAGAGAAGTAATTTCCAGGAATCAGATTTGCTGGCTCCAGACTCCTTAAGCCTCCTGCAGGGGAGGAAGAGTAGGGACAGGAAGTCCGGGCAGCTGGGCAGGTGGGATGGCCTTTCCCTGACCTTGGACCAGGCCAGCTCTGGGGATCTCAGCCTGGGAGCTCGGGGCTGGGGTGTGCACGCTCCTTACCTGCCCATGCCTCACCTACCGGCCTGTGTAGGAATGACCATCAGGGGTAGTGTGGGGGCTGGGTGGGATTCTAATCCCAGCCAGATGGATGAGCTACATACACACATGCACACAGAGCTTCTTTGATGGTGACCCTGCTGGATCCCTGGAAAGCAGGGGTTGTTTTTGCTTGGTTGGTTTGGTTTTGATATTGCTGACATCTAGCCCAGAGCCTGACACAGAAATGTTTATTAGTTGATAGAAATACACAGCACATACACCAGAGCACATAAATGTAATCATGATAGGGCGTATACCAGACAACAAATTCATCACAGCTATGTACACAGATGTGCACGACACACAGCCGTGCCACCCCTGTCTGCCAAGAGCTCACAGATGAATGAGAGAAGCAGATTCCAAACCAGATCCTGGTACTAGAATGTGTTAAATCTTACGAGAGAGGCCCAGGGTCCGGTGGAAATCCAGTGGAGGGCACCCTGGCTGCCTGTATCTGCTGGGGGATGGGTAGCCCAGGCATCTGTCACCCACCCTGGCATCTACTCCATTAAGCAAAGGTAAAAGGAGCCAGATAGCAGAATGTTTCAAAGGAGAGCTGGGGTGGGAGCTTGGGAGGCAACTGGGAAGAACTGAACGTCGTTGCCTGGGAGGATGTGAGACCGTGGAGAGGGGCAGGGACTTTGTTAAGGAGCTGGGCTCTGGGCCAAGGCTGCCAGGGAGCCACAGAGGGCTTAAGCAGGACCATGACCTGAACAGAAAAGTCTTTAAGATTCCTCGAATGCTGTGAGGTGGGTCGACCGGAAAAGGATGTGCACAGGACACCTAAGAAGTGCCCGGGCCCCTGAGCCCCCCACCCCCGTGACACCCTTACCAGACACAGCCAGGCTGGAGAAGCAGAGGGTGACTCAGCCTAGGGAGTGGCAGCTGGGGACCCATGAGGCCATCATCCCACTCTGGCCTTGGGTTCTCTCAGGCTTCTTCCCAGGCTCCCCGGCTCCAGGAACGGTATGAATGGACAATACCCTTTGGTTCACAGCTGTCCATCCTGAAGCCAGCTCCCTACCCCACAAGAGGACACAACACTCTATTCTCTCCCTAGCAGGCTCCACCCTCAGGGCTGCTCTGTCTCCCCCTCAACCCCTCCCAACCTGCCCCCAGGTCTGGTTCCAGAACCGGCGGGCCAAGTGGCGGAAGCGTGAGCGTTATGGGAAGATCCAGGAGGGGCGGAACCCCTTCACGGCTGCCTATGACATCTCCGTGCTGCCCCGCACGGACAGCCACCCCCAGGTGAGACCCCAATCCCACCTGAGTCAGCGCCTGGCCACATCCCACAGGGTTTCCAGACGGAATATGAGCTCTGGCCTGGGGAGACCTGGAGCAGCGTCAGGGCGCTGCGTGACCTTGGGCAAATCGCTTCACTTCTCCCTCTGCAAACCGCGGTTCTTGCCTGTCTCATGAGTGATGCACACAGAAGACATAGGAATCACAGACGAAAGAGCAGAGGCAGGAGCCTCCTGGGATGCCAGGGTTGGGGGCAGGAAGGGATAGACCTGAGCCAGGGGCTCCAGGGACAAAAAGAGAGCCCTTGGGTAAGGGAGGCAGTTCCTGGGGCTCCTGGCTCATGAGCTTCCTTTTCCGTCTCTTTTCAGCTGCAGAACTCCCTGTGGTCCAGTCCAGGATCTGGGAGCCCTGGAGGCCCCTGCCTCGTGTCTCCAGAGGGCATCCCCTCGCCATGCATGTCTCCATATTCCCACACCCATGGGAGTGTGGCTGGCTTCATGGGGGTGCCAGCCTCCCCTGCGACCCACCCTGGCATCTACTCCATTCACAGCTTCCCCCCTGCCCTGGGGGCCCACAGCTTTGAGTCCTCCCCGGACGGTGACTATAAGTCTCCAAGCCTCCTCTCCCTCAGGGTGAAGCCCAAGGAGCCGCCCAGCCTGCTCAACTGGACCACGTGATTGGTCGCGTGGACCCGCAGACTAAGCTGCCCACCCCCTTCTCGGTTCCCAGCTGTTCCCGGCCCACCCCTGCCCGGATGCCAGAGAGGACACCTCTGCCTCCAAGTCCCAGATGCTTCCGGTGCCTGGGGGAGCAGCTGGGACCCTCAGCCCCCAGCAGGGAACATGCGACAGGGTCTTTTCTCTTAGAGGGGGCTTCCAAGCAGGTAGGACTCTTCCCTAAGAGGTCCCCCGAAGGGGACTGTCCAAACTCTGGGCTGGAGGCAGGGAGACACTGCCCCGCTTCCTCAAGGTTTTGTCCAAGTCCAACTGTCATCTCTCCAGCTGAAACGACTTGTTGGCTCTTCATTCAAGGAACCCAGGACAATGAGAGAAAGAGGACACAGAATGAACTGGGAGGAGCTCTTTCTGAGAGCGGGGAAACCACGTCTTGCATGACCGGCTAGCGTCGGCCTCGCTGCCCCCTCCCACCACCGGGGGGCGCGCGCTCCGCGTCGGGCGCTGACTCGGGCCTGGGAGGCGGAGGTCAGCGTAGCCGGATCGGGCTCCCCTGCTCCAGCCGGCGCTTGCTCGTGCCCGGTGCCTCCTCTCCCAGCCCGCCGTGGAGCAGTCTTCCCTCCAAGGGGGGCAGAAATTCCACCAGAAACCCCCGCGTATGTGGATTCTCTTCTATGGGATCAGCCCAGAGCTCTGCCACGGATGCCGTATTGGCTGTTGGTCAGAATCAAACAGATTTCCAGACTCTGAGATCCTGACCCCCATTTTTGTAAAGACAACTTTTGTTAAAAAAAAAAGAAAAAAAGAAAAAAAAGTGCTGCCAAGCATAATAATAAAGGTGGTGGTGTTTTTTTTTAACCCAGGTGTCCCCAGAGTTTTCACTTGGTTGCTTTAGGGCCGGACTGTGTCCAGGATCCAGGCTGGGCCAGGCCCTCCTGAGGGGCCAGCAAGGATCCCAGAGGCCAGGGAAGGTGGGCCTGCAGCAGAGCCCTCAAGGCCCACGCGTGCCATGCCGGGCCCTGGCACCCACCTGGGGTCCCATGGCTTTGGCGGGTGCTGGGAGGCGGGGAGCAGAGAGAATATTGGGGGTGGGAAGAGGAGTGAAAGAGCCGAAAAATTTTGTGGCTAGACTGACAGTGGCTGGGAGGCAGCGCGGAAGAATGGGGTGCCCACTTGGACCCCAGAGGGTGGGGGCAGGGCATTTCCCCTCCAGACGCCCCAGGAGCATGTCTGAGCGGTGGGGCAGAGACGAAAGCCAGAACTCTTTCTTGTGGTTTTAGAGTCTTACCCGTTCTATCCCTCATTCCCACTTTCTGCCTTATCTCCGAAGCCTGGAAGGCAGGAAAAAAGGAGGCCGGGCCCTCCCACCCTTCCAGTAAACACAACCACATTGCCCTGAAGAATCCAGCCCCAGCCAGCAGCCCAGACACCCCCACTCCACTCCTCATCTTTCAGGCACAGAGAAACCCAAGCCCACAAAGACACATCAGGGTCGAGCTTATTCCCAAGGAGGGAGCAAGTCTCCCCTCGGATCAGATTTCCCGGCCAAGACAGTCGCTTGTGAGGAGGCCTCGTCTCCCCAGAGGAACCAATGTCTCCCCCCTTTCCCTTCCCTTCCTTCGCTTCAAGGGCCTGGCTCTGGGGGTTTCCTTCCTCTCTGCCCGGACACTGGCTCTAGGGTCCAAGTGAGAGCCCTGTATCCAGAAGGAAGAGGGGACCCGCCAGGCAGGAAAGACAGGGTAGGAGGGAGAGACATCCCCAGCTGCTACGGGTGAACAGAACCTCCCTCACCCAGCTGGTCAGTAACAGAACTGGGGCCCAAACTTACCTTTCTGGCTCCAGGCCTCACACCACTGTAATAGAATTCTCTTTTCCCACAGCGTAATCAGGTGTGGACCTTTCGCCCACAAAAGTTAGAGAGATGCAGAGAGAGGGTAGATTGTTCTACAGTTGTTACCAAGAGCCTGTTCTGCCAGAGGCACAGCAACGGTCAGGGAAAACGTCTCTTTCTCTCCTGGCTTAGAAGGATGGAGGGAGGGGACCAGGTGTGGTGGCTCACACCTGTAATCCCAGCACTTGAGGCCAAAGTGGGAGGTTTGCTTGAACCCAGGCGTTCCAGTTACATAGCAAGACCTCGTCTCTACAAAAAGCCCCCCAAAATTAGTCAGGCATGGTGGCATGCACCTGTAGTCCCAGCTACTCAGGAGGCTGAAGTGGAAGGATCGCCTGAGCCAGGAGTTTGAGGTTGCAATGAGCCGAAATTGTTATTGTCCTCCAGCCTGGGTGACAGAGTAAGACCCCGTTTTGTTTTGTTTTTTAAGTAAAGAAAGAAATATGGAGGGAGAGAAGAGGAAAGGATCCATGAAAACCTAAGCAAAGGAAGCCGAAGTGGGAAGACAAGCAGTAGAGAAAATGACATCGAAGCAGCAAGAGTGGGAGAGGCAGGCAGAGGCCAACGGGGGCCAGGAGAGGACCCGTGGGGGCCCTGCTGGGGGAGGGCACCGGGAGGCCAGAGACCGGCTACTGGCTCACATCCAGGGGCATCTGCCCACAGCTCATATTTTTCTGTCCAATGACAGCTAAATGAAGAGAAAGCTAGCTTTACAACCGCCACTTCACACATAATGAATATGAATGGGCATCCCGGAGCCTGCTCCATGCGATTATCTGTGAGCTGACGGTCCTCCCACTGACTGGGCCATCTCAGCCGGCCTGTCCCCTGGCTGGGGCACGGGCAGCCCTTCCACCTGCTTCCCATTAGCTGTGTCCCCTCCTCCCCCACAACCCTAAGACACAGCTCCTGGGTCTCCAGATACCCTTGCCCCCAGCCTCACTCCAGAGGTGACCTCAAACTCCGGCCTAAGCCCTGAGGTTCCTCAAGGCCAGGTTGGGGCTCTGGTCACTTCTGGGAAAGGGGAGGTGGCCCCATCTGGAATCGAAACTTGAAGGGAGTTGACGAGGCTCCTCTCTGCCCCCAGGAGGCCGCCCAGAGAAGATGCCAGAGCCCTACACTGTGGTCCCGGCAGGGGCACGGACAGCAGGCCAGGACTGGAGGGCCATAGCTCAGGCCTCCATCAGTTCAGTCTCCCATCCCAGTCGGGCAGTGGGAGATGCTTTCCATTAGAGGCATTTACTCCTCCTTCCTCACCTCCCCCATGACTTTCAATTCCACCTGAATTACAACCCCAACATGCAGACCCACAGCTCCTGACAAGACCAGAGCCCAGCATGGCCAAGAACCCAGCACGGCCAGGCCCTTCCCATATCTTTCTCCAGGCCTACCACGTTACTGCTTCTTTGAGTCGGGATCTCACTGTCACCCAAGATGAAGTGCAGTGGCATGGACACGGCTCACCAAAGCCTCGGCCTCCTGGGATCAGGAGATCCTTCCGTCTCAGACTCTAAAGTAGCTGGGACCACAGGTGCGTACCACCATGCCTGCCTAATGCTGTTTTGTTTGGGTAAAGATGAAGTCTTGCTATGTTGCCCAGGCTGGTCTTGAACTCCTGAGCTCAGGCAGTCCTCCCACCTCAGCCTCCCAAGTGCTGGAATTACAGGTGTGAGCCACTGTGCTCGGCCCATGTTACTGTTTTTATGGCTGTCTCTCCATTGACTGTGACCTCATCAAGAGAAGTGCAAGACTGTGGTGTCCCAGTTTCCTGACATCCAGAGACCCAGCAAGAGTGGGAAAGGAAGGGAGGCCTGCGGGGGCCAGGAGAGGACCATGGGGGCCCTGCTTGGGGAGGGCACTGGAGGACCTGGCCTGAGCAGGCCTGCAAGGTGTAATGGCCAGGCTGTTGGATGAATGGGAGGCTCCGGATTGGGGGCAGGGAGCTAGGTACAGGGACCAGAAGGAGGCCTAAGACACGGTTGTGGCCCTTGAAGGGGACTTCTGTTCTCTAGGGGACACAGGAAATGGGAGCAGATTCATAGACGGTTAGAACTGGACGGGCCATCCACAACACTAAGAATTGCTACCATTGATTGCTCTCTCTTGTCACCAGGTACTAGGCTCATTCCCATGATCTTATTCAGTCCTCACAACAGGGCTATTATTAAGTCAGTTTTCACAGATCAGCCAGCAGAAGCATAGAGCTCGGCTAGCTCGGGGTCCCTCTGTAAGCGAATGTCGGAGCCTGGACTGCTGTCTCACTCCCAAAGGGCACACCTCTCTTGTTTCACAGCCAGCAGCCCGAGGCTGGCTGTGCCAAGTGCCAGATGAATGTAACAGCTCTTGCTTGTCCGAGTCAGTTCATTAGAGGACAGACAGGAAGCCAGCTCCCGGGAGACAGCCCCACAGGTATGGCAGGGGCAGCCGGCATGGGAGTCCTCTGGGGCCCCAGAAGAGAAGGAAATGCAGGCTCAGGCCGAAAAGGAAAATGGTAGCAGCAACAGTCCCCAAGTGACCTTGAAGGCGGCACACCAGAGGCTAGGCCAAGGCCAAGCTTGGGTGACCCTGTTGGGGTCTAAGGCAATGGACATTTGCCATGCATCTTCTATACCAGGGGCTTGCTAGAGCAGATAAGCATTGGCTAAGGTGAACAAAGAGCAAACAAGGGCACTGGTGGTGAGTGCTGGGGTGTGACAATGATGAGCAGAGGGGAGTGGGAAGCATGTACATTGCAAACAGAGACCTGGGTTGGAATCCTGGCCTAGTCCTGTTCCTGCATAACCTTGGGCAAGTTTCCCACCCTTTTTGGGTCAGTTTTCTTAGCTGAAAAACAGGGATTATGCTGGCACTTACCTTTCAGGGTATTATAAGAATACGTAAGACATTACATGTAAAGTTCTCAGAACAATGGCGGGCACACAGTATCAGGATTTGCTGGCCAGTGTGTAGAAAATGGACTCCCAAGAAGCATCTAATAGTGTGCCTGGTACCCACCTGGCCCCCCGTCAGTGGTTAACTCTTACGATCAACAAGGGACAGTTCCCATCCTCAGTGTGATACAGCCTCAGAGGAATCCATCCCTTGGCAGATTGCAGGAGCATTGTATCCTGAGCCTAGTTGGCACTAATCAATGTTTTATGTGACTCAACCATATATAAAGGCTCTTCATGTACCCTGCCTATCTCATGACCCAAATATGATTATAAAACCACAGAAACTGGATGACTCCAAGACATGTCTATACAAACACCTGGTTCAAATGGCCAAGCTGCCACCAACACACTCTGTAACTATGGGAAGGCTCTTGCCCTCCCCAAGCCAGTTCTAGGGCCTGCAGGTAAAAGCTCACCTGCCTAGGCTTTATAGCTGCATTTTCTTCTGTGGGTCAGAGGAGCATCTGGGAAAGTCAAGAGGAAAAGGAGATAAAGCCTCGGGCCAGGCAGGCTCAGTGACCTGGGCTGCAGGGTACAGCAAGAATAAAAAACTCCATCTTGCCCCAATTAAAATCTCAAGATACATACTTCCTGCCAGTCCTGGCAAAAACCAGCAGAAAATCCACTATGCACATACAAATGGTGCTGATTCCTTTGTCCTAGGCAAGTGGCTTTGGGCAAAAGGCCAATCAGTCACAAGGACCTCCCGTCTCACAGACTATGGGGCCACCAGGACTGTACTGCTGGCTTCCGCAGTGCTGCTCCTAACCTACAGCCTGTCCTGAGGCTCAGCAGGGCCCAGGCCGGGCAGGTACTGAACCTAAGACCTGATGTGGGAGATTCTCTCCAGATGTTTCCTTCATAAATAAAACCCGTTGGAGACTCAAGACCCTGTATACATTGCCTACAGGTAAGATGAGAGCTTCCAGCATTTCTGAAAAGGAAACACTCCTTTTACCGGCATCAAAATAGTAATATTTTCTAAGGCAGAGCCTCAAGATACAGCTAAGAAGAGGAAGATGTGACCAGGGGTCTGGAAGTCAGAGCGCAGGCTCTGGGAGGACTTAAGCTGATACCCACCACAAAGGATTTCCTTTCCTCCCCTTGGCCACTGGGGGCTCCCTCCAACATTCTCTTTCCCACTGTGACACAGCTCTTGACGGTCTGCTTCTCAGACTCTGAGCGTGCAAGTTTCCTCTCAGTTCCAACCACCTGCCCCAGGGAGGGCCTAGAGCAGCTGACAGCCCCCCTCTGACCTGACCCCTCTCATCCTGGCACTGACACTGGTTGGCTGAGGCCAGCTCAGGGATGTGAGTCAGAGAAACCTGGGGCTCCTACTGAAATTACATCAAATGCAGGGGTGTGGGACAGCGTATCACCCCAGCAACCTGGAGCTGATGCGAGACTGATGTGGGAGGGTAACTGCTTGGATAAATGCCAGTCCTCCCCACCTCTGCTGAGGACAGGTAGGTGACTTAGCAATGCTGATAGGAAAAGCCACTTTCTAGACCTCGAGGGGATGGTCAGAGGCCAACCCTCCTGCAGACAAGGCAACAGGGACTGTTTTTGTTTCCTTTTAATGTAAACAGAATACACAACAACATTAAAAACCCCAACATGACACAAGAGAATACACACAGGTTTATATATAGATACTTACAGGCCCTGCAAACCAAGAGGCGGAATGGCACCTCTGGTGAGCTTCTCTTCCCACCTCAACCCCAGCCCAAACCAAGTGCCGGGGTAGTTGCAGGAGCCTCCGCAATCACTTCCAGGTAAAACTCAGCAGGAGGCTGGAATGACATCAGACACTCCCCGGGCACACCAAGACTCCAGTTCTCTGGCCCTGGCCCTAATCCTACGCCCTCCTCCCTTGCAAGCTGCCAAGCCAAAGATCTGTGTGTCCCAGGAGTCAGCGTGACCCCTGAAAATCAGATGCCATGGGAAGCCCCTCACAGCCTTGGGCTGATTGAGATGAGCTGAAACCGGCAACCAGTCATGCGGACAGGTGTGGAGGGGAGTGAAGGAAAAGCAACAGTTGCTCCTGAGGGATGCTAGGAGCCCATGAGAGAGGCCAACCTGGGCTCACCCACAAGCCTGCGGCTGGGGGTGGCTGGCACAGCGGGGCTGTGCTGCCACCTGGAGGGGAATGGGAGCACTGCAGCAATGAACCAGGACAGTCCTGCAGGTACCTTCTTTCTGCTTCAGCGCCCTGCCCGGCACCTCACTGCAGCAGCTCTTCCCAGGAAATAGGCTTGGAGAAGACCTCCCTTTCTAGCCAGAGGTCATAGTTCATCTGGAAGTCCTCGGGGAGGTCCACTCGCTGGCCTAGGACACTCTGTAGGCAGTTGTCCACTGGCAGGAAGTCGGGGTTGCTGTGGGCCCGGTCATAGCGCCGGGCATTGAAGCGCTCGATGTTGGCACGGAGGGCACACTCCTCTGCCTGGAAGTCCCAAGGCCGGGCATCAAGGTCTGAGACACAGCAGAAAGAACACAGTTAGAAGCCAGGCCTAAAACCGCTCCCATGGGTTCCCTACAGCTCAGAGGCCAAGACGGCCAGGGCAGAGAATGTGGACTATGAACAGAGAGCAGGTCCCCTCCAAGCTCATCTCTCCGAGATCCAAAGGAAGGAGAAAAGCCAGATGTCCTGAGGAAGAGGCTTCTGCTGCAGGGATGATGCAGCCCAGAGAGGGAGAGTCACACATACCACCCGATTCTCTACAAGTGACATCCCCTGGCTCTCCAGCTAGAGGCAGGAGCCTGGAGATCCTTCCTCTTGCTCACTGTTTCCCATGCCCTGACCAGGTGCCGTGTGCCACCTTGGGCCCGCACAAATCCACAGGGCAATGGGAGAACAGACAGTCATTCTGCCACGGTGCTATGCCAGGATCAGTACATGCAGAGGCCCAGAGGTGGGAAACGACGTGGCTGATGTGTGGGAATAAGTGCTGCTTGTGCCCAGAGCCCTGGTGTGATGCAGGCAGGGCTGACGGCAGGCTGAAAAGAAGGATAAGCTGCGCTCGGTGGCTCAGCCTGTAATCCTGCGCTGTGGGCGGCTGAGATGAGTAGACTGCCTGAGCCTGTGGGTTCGAGACCCACCTGGGCAACTTGGCAAGACCTCATCTCTACAATAAATCAAAAACTAGCCGGACATGATAGCACACGCCTATAGTTCCAGCTACTTAGAAGGCTGAGGCGGAAGGATCGCCAGATCCCAGCAGGTCGAGGCTGCGGTGGCCGGGAGCGGCCACTGCACTCCAGTCTGGGTGACACAGTGAGACTCCAACTAAAAAAAAAAAAATTAGCCAGGCACGGTAGCATGCGCCTGTAATTCCAGCTACTTGGAAGGCTGAGGCAGAAGGATCACCGGAGCCCAGCAGGTCGAGGCTGTGGTGACCAGGAGGGGCTGCTGCACTCCAGTCTGGGCGACAGTGAGACTCCAACTCAAAAAAAAAAAAGAAAAGAAGGATACTGGGTCAGATTACAGAGGGGAGAAGGAAGGAGCATGGATGGGCCTCATGTGCCTTGCTTAAGAGTCTGACTAATTCTAAGGGAAACGGGAAGTGAATGAAGGGTTTTACTCAGGGAGGCAACAGCACAGGACGTACATGCTGAGGCATAGCTAGGCCACGGGCCCAGGCACGGATGGGGGGGTGCAATGGCGGCAGGAGCTGCAAGCGCTTAGGGGCCAGAGGGCAGGCAGGTGCATGGAGGTGAAGAGAGGGGACAGAAAAGAATGATTTGGAGGTTGGGGACAGGAAGAACCGGGGGATGACCAGATGCCACGCCTGGGTAGCTGACATCCTTCCTGGAGCGCCTGTCCTGATGCCACAGAAGCACGAGCTGGCTCCCCCGTTCCTCGGAGGGACACGCGGAGCAGAGCGGCCCTGAGGCGACTTCCCCACACACCGGCGCCCCAGCCCTGCTTCCTCAAGCCTCACCGTTGCCGTAAGCCCAGTCATCGTTCAGCCGGTGCCGCACCTTCTGGTAGATGGCAGACATCGTCTTCATGTTGCTCTTCCGCCACTGGCGCCCCAGGTACTTGGTCTGCACCTTGAGCAGCTTCAGCACGTAGAGCTGCAGCATGGCCTGTTTCACCTTCAGGGCCCGCTTCAGGATGGGGGCTGACTTGAACACCACCAGCATCTGGGAGGGAGGGCACACAAGGGCAGCCCAGGTTGAGGCCAGAAACAAGTGCACACGCCCCACGCTGCTGCTTACCCCTTTCGGTGGTTGGTCACCCTAGCTGTGGGTCACTGTGGAATCTGGAGAGAGCCATGTGCACATACACATAATTTCAGAGGATTTAAGCCATCCTCTTCCCAAAGGCATCCACAGACCCAGGGATGAGGAAGGCTCTCAGAACCCTGTCATGGTACCAATCAAGGTCAAGATGATACATACAAAGCTATTCTGTAAGTGTGGGTTAGTTTCAGGCCCTTTTCCAACTTCCAGTTCAACTCAAGGACCAGGAATCAGGCCTTAAAACGCAAGGATGGATTGGCAGCAGCGGGAATCTGCCTGGGGAAGGGGGGACACACCTCATTAGCAAGGATGCCTGCATAATGAACATTTGTATACCTAACCCTGAACTGTACCCCACATCTTTTTAAAAAAAAATTAAAAGAAAAAACCGCAAGGATGTGGCTACAGCAGAATTAAGTGAGAAGCCACAGCCACAGAGATGAGCTGCCCAGGACTCCCTGCTCCCAGCGAGAAAGGGGAAGGAATGAGGCACGCACTCTCCTTTGAGCTCCAAGTTCCCTGCCTGCCGCCTGCACTGACTCACCATTGTCCTTGAATGCTTCCATTTTGTCAGCTTGTTCAAGATCCGGAGCAAATTGATACAAGAAAAGAGGTTCCTCCAGCAAAACTGGTTATTGTCCCCGGCTTCCTGCAGTATAAACCCAGGAACAGTCATAACCCTCATAGCTGCAGGGCACTCGGCAGTTTCTACACAGTTCTCAGGACAGCTGGGCCTCCACCCCTCTGCCAGGTATCACTTGCTCTCATAGAAGCTGGGGACTCCATCCCAGAAGTGGGGCAGGGAACTGGAAGGAAAGGGCTCCCTAGATTTTTCCTGTGGGAAACATGGGCTGTGGCCCTGAGTCCAGTGTGGGGGAGGGAAGCAATGTATCAGGTAGTCTCCAGATCAGCAGCCCCTGAAGACCATGCTCCCCGACAGACCCCCAGTCCAAGTCTCTCTGCTCTGCCAGGCCCCTCCCTGGCCCTTCTATGCATTTACAGTGCTGCAAAACCAGGCACGCCACAGTGACTCCCCATAGAGACACCTCTACTCCTGTGTTGGGAAGGCGGCTTTCCACCCACTGCCCCCCCAGCCACTCACCAGACTCTCCGCAGTCAGCTCGGGCAGCTCGTGTACCACACAGTGGGGATAGTCCAGGACAGAGATGCTGCGGAGGGAAGAGAGCCCAAGTGGCCCCGGGAGCAGGGCAAAGTCGGGGTGCGGCTGTGACCAAGCTGGCTCCTGGCTTTCCTCCTTGCTTGTTGGGGAAGGAGGAATCCACCTTGTCTGCCCCACCCCAGTCTTCCCAGCTGTAAGACGTGGAAATATCTGCTTCAAGAGAACTGCAAGGCCCCCCTGTGGTCAGAGATCAGCTTGTGCTCTCCTAAGGGGCAGAGATCCTAGGACAGCTTTCCTCACATAGTGACTCTGGGTGGGGAGGAGACTGCTCACGGCAACTAGTTTATGACAAGCCCTTCTGGACACAAGGCCTGGGCAGCAGCTTGCCCCGTGGTACAGCATGCTGATGAGTAGCACTATCAAGTCCCACGGGCACCAGGTGGGGTGGGAACAAGAGTCAGCAGGTGGGGCATTTATAGTGCCTACGCCAGGCTCCTTAGGCAGAGCAGGCAGCCCATGGTCACTTAAAAAACAGCACACAGCCAGGCTCGGTGGCTCAGCCTGTAATCCCGCACCTTGGGAGGCCGAGGTGAATGGATTGCCTGAGCCCGCGGGTTCGAGACCCACCGGGCAACTTGGCGAGACCTCATCTCTATAATAAATCAAAAATTAGCCGGGCGTGGTAGCGTGCGCCTGTAGTTCCAGCTACTTGGAAGGCTGAGGCAGAAGGATCACTAGAGCCCAGCAGGTCGAGGCTGCAGTGGCCGGGAGCAGCCACTGCACTCCAGTCTGGGTGACAGAGGAGACTCC